CTCTTAGTCACTTTGCAGTTTAACTCCTCTGGAGGAGATAGTTTTATCTTAAATACACAGTCGAGTCTCTCTTGGCAGGGCTTTTATCTGTGACTTGTATAGGAAAAATTAGCTCCTACAATTTAAAAAAAAGCACCAATGACTTTGACATCCCTTCAGATCATGAAAGCAAGCCCTACATTTTTATACATTAGAAAGGTTTCTGTATAACCTGCAGTGTATTTCTGCTTTTTGCTTTTCAAAGGAACTTCCAAAGTAATATGAATTTTGCGATTAAACATTCCCTGCTTCCTCTTAGATCAACTTACAGATACGTAGTTTTCATTCCTGTTTTGTGCTTAGCTTCTAACCACTGTTTTAAAATTGTGGAAAAAAAGTTTTAGACCAAATCTCTGCTGTACCATTACGTTTTCCTAAAGTGCAGGTCTGTACAACAAAACCTTACCCTTAGATGTCACATCAACTTTGAGTGCACATTTGTGGATTCATTAAATATTAAGTCTAATGGAATCAGATGCTTTAGTTGACTGGTTTGCAAAGTGAAAGTTTTCGTTTCATTCCTGTGATGTCATTACTGCAGTGTGCCTACCTGATCTTAAAGACAGACACACACGGATACATTGTATGTCAAACTATTACTGATTTTTCACAAGTCTTCTGAAATCACCACAATTGCTAGGCATAAGATGCAGAATTTCTTAATTACTTGTGACATACCTAGTGTTTACTAGACAAAAACCACAGCCTAAACAATCCACTCTAGAACCTTGATAAACTGTCATTGTACGAGTTTTGCATACTAAGAAAACATATAAATCACAAGCCAAGGACCATACTTTCTGCCTCAAAGGCAGAACTATTTGATGACAGTAAAATGAAGAAGGAAAACAAAGGATTAATAAATTCTGTGAAGAAGTAAAAATCATGCAAAGAGGTAGTTGATAATGGCTTCTCCTTTTTTTGGTATCATCTTTGCAACTATAATTAGAAAAAAAAAACACATTAGGAGGTTAGGGAGACAGTGCTTTTCAATATCTTGGGAGCAATAGGAGAGCATTTCAGGGAAAGCTGTAGTCCAGGTTACGAGAACAGTCATGTGCCTACTATGGAATTTGACTGCCAAATGAATCTTGGGAAGTATATATTTTAGCAAATAAATTTTGTTTCCCAAAATATTATCGATAACATCCTGAAGTTACATAAATCAGACAACAGAATAAAACACTTTTGCAGGTATTCAGATGGTAAACATTTCCAATTATTTATGGTCTTGTATATGTGATCATAAGTGGTATTTTTCAGGTTGCCAAGACTGGATATTCTGTACTTCACTGATTGATGACAAACACTGAAATTTTTTATACAGATTTATTTCATTATTCCAGCTCAGTCCTCAATGGATTTTATGTATTTCTCATAGGCATCTTCATTCATCAGTTCATCAAGCTCAGCAGGGTTTTCCACAGTCATCTTGATAAGCCAACCTGTAGAGTTAGGAAGTTAAAAAGAAAACCAGTTGCTAATATCTTACAAGGAAGATTCATTCATGTTACTTAGAAAAGTACTCCCGTAGGCATACAAGCCCCGTAACACTGGTAGAATCAACAGGATTATTTGTGCAGGCAAAACAATGTTTCAGTACTTTGAAAAAATGAACAAACAGCCTGTCGTAAGAAATGGCCTTGTGAGTCAGACCAGTTGTCTAATTTAGTACTGTCTCCGACAGTGGCATTAAGGAGACGCTGTCTAGAAAGAGTAAAAGAGCCTGACCGCTCACTATCATGAGCTGTTAAAGATCAAAATAAAAAAACGTCATCAAGGGAAATAGGTTTAAATTCAACCACAGTCTGTGTTTGAAGAGAACATGTCGTAAAACAGCTGTCAAAGACAAGGCTACAATAATACTTCCACGTTAAATTTTATTAGGCTCGAACTATATTCAATATATTCCATTGAACTGGAAGAACTAGGAATTGCAGAGCCACTTGTGGTAACAAGAATCCAGGTGATACTCATTACTGAAAGATAAAAATGACATCTTACCATCTTGATAACAAGATTTATTGACAAGCCCTGGATTATCTGCAAGGGCAGCATTAATCTCAGTCACTTCTCCTGTGAGAGGAGAGTAGAGCTCACTGGCAGCTTTCACACTTTCCAAAGCTCCAAACTCATCTGAAACACAGAATACGATTGAATGCTTTTAAGAGGAAAATACAAAGCACCTCAGTTTTTTAGTCAGACATTCTGGTCATGACCTAGCAATTGAAGCATTGGCTTCAAGGAAAAGGAAATGACAGTGATCTGCACTTTTAAATTTGATGTTTATGCTCCTGAATTATTCTGGGGAACTTGCATAACACTAGCTGGCTCCTACAGAAGAGATGGAAATTTCTTACATTTGGCTAATCCCTTGGCTAAAGCCCTACAGCATATGATATGATCTAGGGTTAGAAGGAACCACATCCAGCTCTTGCTACAAGAGACCTAAATATGCATTCAATCTACAATTTAAACCTTCTCATACATAATTTGTTTACAAAACAGACACAGCCACAATTTCAGGAATCCCAGTTTTTCTTCGGAAACGCTATCAAGTGTTACATTTGCACTTACTGGAAAACACAAGTTAGTATTCAGAAGCACCACACTGGAATCACTCAGCCACTCTTCCCTTTTTTCTATTTTGTAGGCAGTTACGGAAATGGTGCCTGGAGCAACGTTAGTCCAGAGTAGCTCTTAAGCCACAAGCAAACAAGACAGAGGCTGGAGGAACAGGGAGGTGTCAGATGAGTAGATAGGCATCAGCACAAGGAATCAAAGAACAAAGTGTTCTGGGAAAGTTTGGAATTAGACTAAGGCCAAAACGGGTAGAAAAGAGAAGAACTAAACGGAAATGGAATTCCTTCAGATAAAACAAAACTACAAGTTGGTTAATTAAAACTCTGAACAGAAAGGCCTTTTGTCTAACATTCACCATTCAATCCGATGTAATAGGTTTGGCCAAAAGAGTTCCATACGGACCTATTCCACAAGAAGGATCACAAAAAAAAGGCCTGCTACTTTACCTCAGTGAATCTACATTCTAGTTCTGCAACGTCTGAAGCTAATGACAATCTTTTCTTCACATACCAGCAAGACAGCTCTCCATGTAAATACAGGAATAGCTTTTTCCTTTCTACCTGTTAATGCTCACTCTTTAACATGGAAAATTTCATAACTGAATGATTAAGAATGTAACAATTTGTATGTCGCTCATGAACAAAACCCTACGATTACAGTTGATACTCAAAAATTACTGAGTTTGTATATTCACAGCGAAATTGGAGCTTGATATCAATTAGATGTTTCACATTGTACAACTCGTGAAACCTGTAACTGCAGAACTACAAATAAGGCAACCTTAACACCAGTAAGTCCAAATCAAAGCATAAATATTTAAAAAACAGAGCAAAGATAAAATTATTACCAAAATATATTTCAATATTTGATTTTTAAATAAATGCCTTCACAAGTTTAATAAGCAAGCATTTTCTGCTACCATAGATGGTCTGACAGCGAGAATTTGAAATTAAAGCTGTCTCTTCTAGAAATACTTGAATTTATTTTGCTTCCAGAAGATTTATAATGGTATTAATGAACATAAAGATTACTTCATAAAATTAATCTTTGCAAAGGGAGAATAGGATGAGTAGAATAATTACTTCATTAGAAATTAGAGCTGAAACTTACCATGTTTACTCAATTTTGTCCCAACTTCTGGAAGACTACAGTAAACAACATCTCCTAATGCTTCCTTAAAAGAAAAACAAAAGCATCAAAGCATACATTAAAGAAACTATGCATAGGAGAGATCCAATACAGTAACTCCAGAAGCTGTATGTAAGTAATCTCTGCCTCTAAATTTAGTTCTCGTTCTTTAAGGACCGCATATTTTTCACTTTTTAAACATTTAACTTGAAAAAACTTTTGTTATCATAAACCAAGTGCCAAATTGCTGTTTATCTATTACAGCATTAATAACCCTCAGGCTGAGTTACAAGGTTTATATACAGATTTCTTCAGGCAGAACAGGAAGCAACATCTGCTGATCACCTTAGCATGAGTTAGAGTAACAACTGTTTTAAAGAACAAAGTTCCCGATTATTTGAGGGAACTACCTTTTGACACAGAGCACCCAGGATTTACTTCAAGTGCAATTTGAAAGAAAACACAATGATCCCTCCCCAGAGACACAGATCGTGCACTGTTAGCATTCAGTTTGTCCTTACTGACTTAATAAGGAGCCTTATCACCACAAGAATCAGCTCAACTAGAACAGGCTTCTGCCTCTTCACTGAGAAATGCACCCTATCTCACAAAAAAATAGGGATCTTATAGAGTGTTTCTGTCATTTACAGAAAACTGAGATTACAGGAAATGCTGCTTGTCCTAAAAAACATTAATTCCTCTCCATGGATAGCTTCTCACATTAGATGTTCTTAACTTTCACATACAGTTAATCTCTGTCTTGAGTTTGCCTGTGACTATTCCAAATCAAGTACTGGCATAAGAACAAAACAATACCAAAAAATCCAAAGGCATTCCTATCCCAGAGTAAGAAACATATGCCAGGTTGTACTTCTATTCACAATCATTCTTTAGCCAGAAGGGTTGCACCGTATTCATGTTCAAGGGAAGTTTGGCCTGAAAAGTGCATGGCATCACCTTCACACAGCCACGAACTTCTCAGGCCTGTAAGAACTGAAGTAATAAAGATTTTGAATTCTGCGGAACCATTAAGTTTCTCATCAAGTTCAGGTCTCCATAGGCTCAACCTGAAGTGATTGAGAATTTATCAGCATGCTGAAGCAGCGTTCAATTCACAAATAACGCGACAGACTCAAGCCCAAAAATCACGTTCATTGTATAGCATATGGAATTAGAACAATAAAAAATATTAACTGTCCAAAGAGCAAGGACAGGAGCATGTATGCATAAGTAAATATTGCAGACTTGGGTAAGGGGGGAGAGATCGATACCTGTGCAAAATTGCTGATTCCTACTGTTCCAATGCCATTTTCAACTGATATCCATTCATGCTTGTCTGTGAATTTGCGGGCTAAAATGAAACAAACTTGGCATTTCAGAAATGTGACATGTTGCTCACTTAAATACAAGAACACATTCACAGACTTAGACTGTGGTTTTTTTTCCACTGAAGTTAGTTTTGTTCGGTTTTCTTGGAAAATATTTTAAACAGCAAATACAATTTTACAGGAGCATTTTGTTCTGCTCATGACAGACTCAGTGACACGGCAGAAGCTCATGAGGGGTTCTGCTTTGGGCAGCCTGGTGTAGTGAAGGGTGTCCCTGCCATGGTTGGAACTAGATGATCTTTAAGGTCCCTTCCAACCCAAACCACTCTGTGATTACTATTACCAGTCCCTGTGCCATCATCTAGAGACCAATAAAGCACAGGAGCAAAAGGAGTAGTTCTGCTTCAAACTGAAGTATAAATCTAAAGCATGTATGTGTACTTTACTGGTAGCTATGCATTTACATGATAGCTTAGTGGCTTTTCAAGCATATTTAGTGCTTGAATAAAGTTTCTGACAACCACTTTATTATTCCTGGGAAGGACAGTGTTAATGACCCGTTAGAAACAGTGTCAGCATGAAAGCATCTCTTTCAAAGTACTTAGAGCCATCAGTTGAAGTAAAAAAGTTGCGACCTTGCTAGTTTAAGTGGCTGATTCCCTTCCCTCCCCCTCCCATTTCCTATAGAGTCTGCTTCTCCCTAGTTAATGTTTTCACAGATCTATGCAAAATTAAGGCAAATCAATACAGGGCAAATTAATAAGGCAAATCAAACAGGTAAGTGTTACTTAAGATAATTTGCTCTATTAATACTGTTACTGTGAGAAGAGCACAGTAGTTATTCTGTATAGTTTTAAAACAAGCATATTTCAGACTCTGTTAAGTCTTTTCACAGCAATCTTGGAATTCTACATGTATTTTAGATCTGTAAGATTCTGGACAGCTTACACTAGCTTTCTTAGTAGCAATTCTTATAAAGTCATATGGAAAAATTTCTAAAGAAGTAATTGAAACAGGCAACGTTTTTCTTGATAACATTTTACCTCCATAGTTTCCCCATTGATACTTTATTCCCCCTCCCTTTTTTTTTTAACCAAGCTATTTTTAGTCTTCACTTGTAACACCTGTCCAATCAGGCAAGGGATATTTCAGAGGTGGAGAAGATAACTTCTTAAACAGAGCTCCCTGTGTGATTAGTGCCAGAGTAGTACAGCTGGACCCTCCTTTTGAGTTCAAAATTCTCTTCTCGGGCTCTGCCTCTAGGCTGGACTCCTTATACCCATTAGAGAAACTACACTTCTGCAAATCCTTGTGTATTTTCTAAACCTGTACATGAAGGAAAACAGAAGTTCTCACTGCAGACCTGCTAAAATTTTTGCACTGTCATATTTTAAGCTGTTTCAGTTGTAGTGATCCTCTTATTTATGTCTGAACATGTGTAAGAGAAGTAAGTGTCAGATAAAATGGTTTGTCTTTGAAGATAGCCTAAGTTTATAGACCTTAGTAGAGCAATACATGTTTCTGCAAATACAGAACGTGGACAATTTTGAGTAAAATGCAAATACAAGTATTTTTCCATGATTTATCCCTAAAAACCACAGAGGATTTCAGCTAGCATTATTTATACCTAAATAAATCTCTCAGGACACAGTCTAAGGAACAGAAGAAATCAAATGTCTTAAATCATTTTATGTCAAGACATCAAACCCATGGGTAATAGGAATTTCACTGGAAATGAGTAATGAACCATAAGAGCAGAGAATGACACAGAATCTCAAACCTAAGCTGAACATTTGTGACATTACACATACCACAAAGAAGCCAACCAATATCTTTTTATGTAGGGTAGTAATATTGTATAAAATTTGTTTATAAAGCAAGGTTAAAAAAAGAAGGAAAAAAAAGATATAAAACCAGAAGACTGCCATGATCAGTTTGGAACGCAGCTATAAAGTGTTCTCAACAGTCAGAAGAGCACATAAGCTTCTTGTAGGGAGGGGAGGGGGAAAGTGAAAAATGAAAAATTCTAACCAGGTAACAAAAAACACTGCAAAAAAAGTAAAGGTCAAATTAAAAAGAGTTAATAAGTAATCTCAAAATTTGAACTTTGCCCTTATGTGATCAGCCCGTTAAATAAACCAAATTAAACGAATATGAAGTGTCAAAGCATATCAAATCTCTTCTGTGAGCACTGTTTTTCAGAAGAGCAGCTAAATTTACTCCAGCTTCATTCATTTCAACACGACTTTGATTTCAGCTTAACTACCACATTCTGAATTCAGACCTTCATGTAGTTTAGCCTGCCTCTATTAAATATTTCATAAATAGATACCTGAAGAGTGAAGGAAAACTCATACCTCCACAAAGAGGCATACAAAATTTTTCCTCTCTGCCTAAAACAGAAGCATAATTTATGTTATTCCTTCAAGTTATACTTATGGAAAAACAATGGGTATATCAAGCAATTAAAATAGTGAAAAAAGCTTAGGTCTTGACTCAGTTTGCAAGTAATAACTAATAAATGTTATTTATTTTGTTCACGTGTAGCAGAAGGCAGTTAACCAGGTTAAAAGGCTATCTGGAAGGAAACGTATGATCTCTTCTTAGTGGCAGTCATTACTTTTATAGCATATTCTCCTCTTCTCTCCTATCTTTCCAACATTCCTGTCTTCTGAAGTACCACAGCTTCTGTTTTTCAGACTTCTGTGGCTGACTTCCATTCAGAGAGCTTCAACAGCAGCAGGCACTTTCGGAACGAACTACATTAAGTGCAAAATCGCACCGAGCACCGATGTGCAAGTCCACCTCCTGCCTTACCACTTCTGCAGCTCTGCTGCACAGGAGCTGGCGAGACCCAGCCGCTGACTGCTGGGGCTGCTGCCGGCCTGCCCTCCCCACCCACCCGCTTCCCCTGCTGGTGCTCCCCGGAGCGCCGGCGATCCCAGGAAAAGCCATCCGCTGCTCGGGTCAGCTGGCGTTCTCCGCCCTCGGCCCGCTCAGCGCAGCCCGCGCTGCGGCCGGAACGGGAAGGGGCCGCTTCGCCGAAAAACCGCAGCACGGAGAGGGTGTCGAAAGCTTTCCGCCAGCTAACGGGGGTGAACCTGCTCCGCACGGCGGGAGGAACTGGGAGAGCGCCGGCACCAGCACACGGGGCAGGTGGAAGCCGCGCGGCCGAAAGCGGGAGGCACCGAGTGCCCCCTGCGGCTCTAAGCCCTTCGAAGG